CCCTTTGGAGATGTAAATTATTATATATGCCTGAGTGGGTTTTTTTGTTTGTGTGTGTTTTTAAAAAGCTAAAGTGGATAGAGAGAAATACTTTTAACTGATGGTATATATATGGAGGGGATTATAATCAATGTAATGAAACAAGTTATATGAATTGTTGAATGTGAAACTGATGATGTGCCTTGTAAATTTTCACTCAATCCACAATAAACACCTTAAATTTAAAAAAATAATAAATAAATATATAAAAAAAGAAAAGGACAACAGCACTAATAAGGCATGCTCACTATGGAGTGATCATTTGAAATCAAAAGAGCAACAATTTCCTAAGAATAAAGTTGAAAAGGGATAGGAAGGTGGGTGGAATGCAAATAGGAACCATTGGCAGGAAGTAGGATAACTATTGTTGCAGGAAGAGGACTGCAATCATGGAGATGAAACAAAGTGTATTATTTATTGAATGTAAAATTGATGATCTTGTTTGTAAACTTTCACTCAATTCACAATAAAAACTTTAAGGGAAAAAAGAAAAGCACCAGAGAGGAGATTCTCAACAGTAGAGATGAGCCTATGGGTGAGTTCATACATGGAGGTATGGTGAGGTACTACTTAGATCCAGTCTTCTTGGAGGCAATAATCACTTGGTACTTGATCCACGTGTGACTGTTTTCCCACTCGGCTGAAGTGCTCTGAGGATGGACAATGTGGTGCCTTGAATTTATTTGATATAAGTTTGTCCTCTATTTAGGGGACCATCTTAGTTATCTCATGCTGCTATAACAGAAATACCACAATTGGGTGGCTTTAACAAGCAGACATTTACTCTCTCACAGTTTAGGAGGCTAGAAGTTTTCATTTAGAATGATGGCTGGGGAAGATCCTTGTCTCCCTTCAGAATCTGTAGGTAATCCCAACATTCCTTGGAGATCTCCATGTCTTGACATCAATCGTTGTGTGGATCTAGGAGCTTCACAGTACAGGACTCCAGGTCCCAAGAATTCACTCCACTCCTGACTCTACTTTCTTGGTGGTACTGTGTCCCTCTCTCTCTACTCATGCCTCTCACCTTTTTTCTCTTGTATGTTTGGACTCCTAGTATGGCACTGTAGGATAAACACTGAACACCTAACCACAAGGTCAGCAGTTCAAGCGCACCTCAGAAAGCCACTCCTCAGAAGCCCTACACAGGGTCAGTATGAAAGAGAATCAACTCAACAGCACTTAACAACAATAATGTGATAAGGTGTTTGTCTTGCCACCCCCTTAGGAGTCTTCTACACATCTGATCAGGCTCATACTGGGATTACGGGTATGGTGCTGTAAGTTAATGTGCTGGACCAAAAAAATTGGTTTGAACCCCAAGGTCGGTGGTTCAAACTCACCAGCTGCTCCTCTGAAACCCCACACAGGGTCACTATGAGTCAGAACCAACTCGACAGCACTTAACAACAACAATCCCACACTGGTGTGGCGCTGTAGGATAAGCATTGGACTATTAGCCACAGGATTGGTGGTCCAAACCCACCAGTTGTTCCCTGGATACCCTATACAGATTCTCTATAACTCAAAACCAACTTGAACCCACCAGCCACACAACAAGAACAACATCCCACCCTTAATCCTTTTACTGGTTTATCACATCAGATCACATCATGGGGGATCATCACATAATTGCCAGGCCATTGAGAATCATGGTCCAGCCAACGTGACACTTACTTTGAGAGGACATAATTCAATTCATGCTAGGGGCAACATTTCGTCATAGGAGGTGGTTCATTCAGTCTGCTTGCTTCTCTTTGTAATCAGTTCGATCATTTAATCCATAAGGCACTATAAAGTATTCTGAGTCAATACTTCTTCATTCCTCTATTTGTTTACTTGCTTTAATGCTTCTATCAAAATCTACTTCCTCTCATCAGCTACACCTATTTGGTTGCCCTGAAGCAGAGTCTTTCACAATGACATCTTTGCTCTTGGACACTTTAAAGAGGCCTAATTATTTCTCTTTATTTACCAGCGTATCATGAGTTGATTTCCTAATATATTCCAAAGATCACTGAGATTTTTGTTTTTTAAATGTTATTATGAACTCCTGAATTTAAATATATTTGATATTCTCCATCCATTGCAGTTATTTTCTGTAATGATGTTTCCATTGCCCTTATTTTGGCCAATGTGAATGATCAGTCTCTTGAGTCCCTTTGAAAAGACCTTAGCTTCCTTGATTTGTGGCATTAAAAGATAGTGTAGTTCTTTTTCGTGACACCACAGAGGCCGTCGGCAGCTTCACCATGAAGTTGAACATCTCCTTCCCAGCCACTGGATGCCAGAAACTCATTGAAGTGGACGATAAATGCAAGCTTCATACCTTTTATGAGCAACGAAGAGCCACAGAAGTAGCTGCTGACTCACTGGGTGATGAGTGGAAGGGTGATGTTGTCTGCATCAGTGATGGGAATGACAAGCAAGGTTTTCCCATGAAGCAGGGATTCTTGACCCATGGTCATGTCTGCCTGCTTCTGAGTAAGGGGCATTCCTGTTACAGACTAAGGAGAACTGGCGAAAGAAAGTGCAAATCTGTTCAGGGTTTCATTGTGAGTGCCAATTTGAGTGTTCTCAACTTGTTTATTGTAAAAAAAAAAAAAAAAAAAAAAAAGAGAGAGAGAGAGAAACATATCCCAGGACTGACTGATACAACTGTGCCTTGTCACCTGGGGCCCAAGAGAGCTAGCAAAATCTGCAAATTGTTTAATATCTCTAAAGAAGATGAAGGAGCTCTGGTAGTGTAGTGGCTACGAATCGGGCTGCTAACCTCAGGGTCAATAGTTTGAAATTACCAGCTGTTCCGTGGGGGAAAGATGAGGCTTTCAGCTCTGGTAAAGATTTACAGCCTCAGAAACCCTGTACAGGATCATTATGAGTTGGAACCAACTCCACAGCACATAACAACAACAACAAAGAAGATGATGTCACAATAGCATATTGTGAGAAAGCCACTGAACAAAGAAGGCAAGAAATGCAGGACCAAAGCGCCCAAGATTCAACATCTTGTTACTCCATGTATCCTGCAACACAAGCGTCGGGGTATTGCTCTGAAGAAACACACTAAGAAAAATAAGGAGGTTGCAGAATATGCCAAGCTTTTGGCCAAGAGGATGAAGGAGGCCAAAGGAAAACGTCAGAAACAGATTGCCAAGAGACAGAGGTGGTCCTTTCTGAGCACTTCTACCTCCAATTTGGAATCCAGTAAAAAATACATTTCTATGTGTGACAAATAAATACACTCATATTTTTTTTTAAAAAAGTATAAGCCATGGTCAAATGGCATAGCATTCTCCACAAAGACCACATTCTACATCCTACTTTGGTGAGATGGAATCCTGTTGTGGTGCTATAGGATAAGCACTGGACTGCAAGGTTGACCTGAACCACAAAGTTGGTGGTTCAAACTCACCAACCAATCCTCAAAAACTCTATACAGGGTCACTATGAGTCAGAACCATTTCAACGGTACTTAACAACAACTTTGGTGAGTAACATCTTGGGTCTTAGAGCTGGTGAGCAGCCATTTAAGATGCAACTATTAGTTTCTTCCTGTCCTGAGGAAAGAAAAGTGATGAAAATTGAAGACACATGGAAACAAATTAGTCCAACGAATTAATGGACCACATGAACATCAGTGTCCCTGACAGCAACTGTTCTAAAGAGATTACATTAGAAGGTCCTAGATAAAATGGGAGAAAACATGAAACAAAACTCAAAATCATAAAAAAGAGCAGGTTCACTGGTCAGACAGAGACAGGTAGTGCCATGAGACTATAGGTATTGGTCGCCTTTCAGATCTGGAACTGAGCTCACCTCAATTTTCAGTTAAGCAGTAAGCAGGCATATAGGGAGCCAACAACTTTAGTGTGATACACACACCATAGAACGGTCAACCATTAGAGATCAAAGGGCAACATTTACCCAAGGTCAAAATTCAGAAGCATTGGCAAAGAAGGAGGAATGGAAACATGAAACACAGGGAGGAAGTGGAACAAGTAATGTTGCATTGAGAGGTGTATGATTTATTGAAAGTAAAACTGGTACTTTGCTCTTTAAACCTTCACTCAATTCACAGTAAAAAGCTAAAAGAAAAAACAATGATAATGTAAGAGTATATTGTACATATTGTCAGGAGGGACCAGTCTCTGGAGAAGATATCATGTTTGGTAAGGAGGAGGGTCAGAGAAAAAGAGGAAGACCCCCAATGAAATGGATTGGCCAAGTGGCGACATCGATGGACTCAAACATGGCAACAGTCGTGAGGTTGGCTCAGGATCGGGCAGTGTTTCATTCTGCTGTGCATAAGGTCTCTGTGAGTCAGTACCAACTCAATGGCACCTAACAACAACACCATATTGTAAAATGAACCTTGTGGTTAAGCACTCCACTGCTGAAAGGTCAGTGGTTTGAACCCACCAGCTATTCACCAAGAAACAGATGTGGCTGTCTTGTTATTGATTGGTGCTATTGAGTTGGCACTGACTCATAGTGACCTTACGCACAACAGAACAAAACACTGCCCAGTCCTGCACCAAGCTCACAATCATTGCTACACCTAAGCCCGTTGCTCAGCTGTGGCTGTCTGCTTCCATAAAGCCCTGGATACGTAATGAGGGCAGTCCTATTCTGTCTTAAAGTTGCTGCAAGTTGGAATCAACTTGATGGCACACATAACCACAAAGATATATTGTACACTTTCTGCCCCAAAGCTCTTTACTTTTTTTAAGCAGTCCTGGTCTCTTACAGAGGGAATTAGTATGTAGAGATCATAGTCTGGGCACTATATTTTCTCACTGCTGCTGGGTTGGTAACGGTTTCTAAGCTTGGGAACAGTAGGCAGAGCTAGGAAATATGGTTGGTTGGTTGGTTTTCAGTTACACTGTTTGTTGTTGTTGTTAAGTGCTGTGGAGTTAATTCTGACTCATAGCGACATTGTGTAGGGTTTCCAAGGAGTGGCTGGTGAGTTGGAATCGCCAACCTTGCGGTTCAAACCAACCTTGAAGTTGAGTGCTTATCCTATGGTGCCACACCAGGACTCCATGTACGTAGGTGTTTGTCCTTGTTGTTGTGTTATGTGCCGTGGAGTCGGTTCTGACTCATAGTGACCCTGTACAGGGTTTCCAAGGCTGTAAATCTTTATGGGAGCAGAAAGCCTCATCTTTGTCCTTGGTTCCTGATAAATAACCTCTAGAACCTTTTAGTTACTCAGTAATTGAGGAATCTTGTTATCTAGGAACCTGCCAGACCACACCTAAAGGTTTATGCTAATGAGGTGACTCAGAGGCTGGCCAGGCCACAAAGCCCTATCCTGTAATGCCAACCATATGGTTGCCTAGTAATACCAGCCCACCTTAAGAAGCCCCAGTGGTCTGTAGGATAAAGACTGGACTATAAAACCACCAGTCACTCCATGGCTTTCTGCTCCAGTAAAGATTTACAGCCTCAAAAAACCCTAAACAGGGTTGCTATGAGTTGAAATCCACTTGAATGCAGTGAATTTGTTTAGGAGAGGGAAGAGGGGTTGGAGCTTGCATACAGATCCTATGTACAACAGAATGAAACTTTATTCCATTCTGTGCCTTCCTCACAATGCTTGCTATGCACAAACCCATTGTTACAGCCTCATGTTGTTGTTGTTAAGTGCTGTCGAGTCAGTTCCGACCCACAGTGACCCTGCATAGGGTTTCCAAGGAGGAGCTGGTGAGCTTGAAGTGCCAACCTTGCAGTTCAAACTGACTTTGCAATCCAGCACATTAACCCATAGCACCACACCAGGACTCCCACAGCCTCATTTGTTGTTGTTAGATGCCATCGAGTTGGTACAAACACTGCCCAGTCCCGGGCCAACCTCACAATTGTTGCCACACTTGAGTCCATTGCTACAGCCTCATAGAAGATGAGAGTTCTTTCTCTGAATCACCAATGCTTTTCATATAGCAGTGTTGCTGTTGTTAAGTACCATGGAATCAGTTCCAACTCATAGTGACCCTGCACAGGGTTTCTGAGGCTGTAAATCTTTACGGGAGCAGAAAGCTGTATCTTTCTCCCGTGGAACAGCTGGTAGTTTCAAACTGCTGACCTTGAGGTTAGCAGCCCAATTCATAGCCACTACACTACCAGTGAGCTATGGTAGCGTAGTGGTTACAAATCGGGCTGCAAGTGGCAAGGTCAGCAGTTCAAAACTACCAGCCGTTCCACAGGAGAAAGATGAGGCTTTCTACTCCCGTAAAGATTTATAGTCTCAGAAACCCTGTACAGGGTCGCTATGAGTTGGAAACAACTCGATGGTACTTAACAACAACAACAACACTACCAGAGCTCCTTATATAGCAGTGTTTGTTGTTGTTGTTGTTGTTAGGGGCCATTGAGTCGGTACCAACCCGTAGCAACCTTATGCACAGCAGAACGAAACACTGCCTGATCCTGGGTCAACCTCACTGATGTTGACACACTTGAGTCCATCGATGCTGTCACTTGGCCAATCCATCTCGTTGAGGATCTTCCTCTTTTTCTCTGACCCTCCACCTTACCAAGCATATCTTTCGCCAGTGGCTAGTCCCTCCTGACAATATGTCCGAAGTATGAGAGACAAAGTTGGGCAGTCTTGGCCTCCAAGGAGCACTCTGGCTGCACTTCTTCCAACACGGATCTGTTGGTTCTTTTGGCAGCCCATGGCACATTCAATATTCTTCTCCAACACCATAACTCAAAAGCATCAGTTCTTCAGTAGAGCAGTAAAAAGATTGATAAGCTGGTAACTGAACATGATCATGTTTTTGCTTTAGTGCTGAGTCAGTTCTGATTCATAGTGACACTGTATAGAGTTTCCAAGGAGCAGCTGGTTTGTTTGAATCACCAACCTTGTGGTTAGCAGTCCAGTGCTGACCCTATAACACCACATCAAGAATCTGAATATGATAATTATTGTTGTTATTAAGTGCTGTGGACTCCGTCCCACTCACAGCAAACCTGTATAGCATTTCACTGAGTATCCTAATACTTAAGGATCAAGAACATGAGGAGGAATTTTCAAGAGGGGCCAATTTGTTGTGTGAGCTTAGACAAGTCAGGTCACCTTTCTGAATAGTTTCCTTATCTTTTTAAAAAAATAAGGAGGGAGTGCAACAATAGGACTTTGCTTAGCCACAGCAGCTTCCTTTCTGTTTTCCTGCCTCAGGGCATTCATACTTCTGGTTCCCTGTACCTTATCTTCTTTCTGGTTCCTTTGTGTGACACTCTTTCTTCTGTTCTTCCAATGACTGGTTCCTTCTCAGCATTCAAATGTCAGCTTCAACATTACCTCCTCAGGGAGGGCCTCCCCAACCATATAATCCAAAACAGGACCCTTTCCATTGTTGTTAAATGCCCTTGAATCAGTTACGACTCACAGCAACCCTATATGGGATTACAGAGGAGTGGCTGGTGTATTTGAACTATCACCCTATTTTATTTCTTCCTGATACCAATACCAATAAGAACCCCTGATGGTACAATGGTTAAGCACTCATTTGCTACCACAAAGGTCAGCAGTTCAAATCCACCAGCTGCTCCCTGAGAGAAAACACCTAGCAATCTGTTTCCATAAATATTATAGACTAGTAACCCATGCTTGCTGAAGAGGACTTAAAATATTTACTGATGAAGATCAAAGAGCACAGTCTTCAGTATGGATTGCATCTCAATTTAAAGAAAACAAAAATCTTCACCACTGAAACAATAAACAACATTCTTATCAATGGAGAAAAGATTGAAGTTGTCAAGGACTACATTCTTCTTGGATCAACTATCAAGCCTCACAGAAGCATCAGTCAAGAAATCAAATGACATATTGCATTAGGCAAATCTGCAGCATAAGATCTTTTTAAAGTGTTGAAGAGCAAAGATGTCAGCTTCAGGACTAAGGTGCGCCTGCCCAAAGCCATGGTATTTTCAATAACCTCATATGCATGTGAAAGCTGGACAGTGAATAAGGAGGACTGTAGAAGAATTGATGCTTTTGTGTTATG